AAGCCTGCTTGGACAGACCACCACAGCCACGATGAATCCATGTTTGGCAATTCCCTTCACAGAAAATGGAGTCCTGACAATCATCGTCAATATCATCTTGGCAAATTGGGCAGCAGTATTTGTTAGTCTTCTTTCGTGATTTTGACCCGACAGTGGTCCTCTTGCCAGGAGAATCAATAGGAGCTGTCATAACCTTAGAACGAGTGTTCTTGGAAGCCATCGTGACAGCACGTGTCTTCTTTTTAAGTGACGATCTAGCTACAGGAAGAAACAGAAAACACTACACAGAGACAACACAGCAACAACCTGGATTTGTGGCCGGTAAAAAAACAAATTTAAACCGGCAAAGAATCAGATGGGGACACAGGTTGGTCTCAGAGCACAAAACGAGTAGCCATTAGGTAGGCGTGGTTACATTATCTATGGTCCAGATAAGTGAAAAGTCCGGATAATCGAAATGACCTTCAAAACCTTCATATACTTACTCCAAAGAAAAGCTAGAGCCTTAATCAGCCATAAGGAGGCTATATCCAAGCCTTTTTACTAGTAGAAAGCCATTAATCAGCATCATTCCAGTGTTAAACAAGCTACTCCGTGTAGAAAGCAGCCATTTTATAATACCATATACTCTAATTAAGTGAATTTAAAGCACCACGTGGTCACTTCCGGTCATGATTTTAGAGTCCGGATAATCGAGGTCCGGTTAATCGAGGTTATACTTACATGTTTTTTAAAGAAATTTATCAATACTATCATTATAATTTTTTGTTTGTATCTTTGATAAGAAATTAATATAAAAAAATTACTTAATCATGGCAGTGCACTGTTCAAAAAATATTGAGCTTTTGACTTGGAGGAGTCATTTTATTATATAAACAGGGCTGATGCTAACACTTTTATTCAGTCTTCTTTTCAAGGATTATGAATATCAAGAAAAACGCAACTGTTTTTAATGATTGTAGCAGCTAATTCTAAATTAAAAACCAAAAAAAATTATAAAACTAACTAACACTCATCAAATTCTGATAACAAAAACAAAAACCAAAAGTATAAAACTAACACGCATAAAAAGACCATTGTTCATTGTTATTTCTTTTTATTCCTTTTGTCTCTTGACAAAAATATTTAAAGTAGTGCCTTCAATGTCAAGATGCTTTTCTAGTTCATCAGAAGCAGGTTCATCAGAAGCAGGTTCATCATCAACATAAACTGAGAACTCAATCAATGGAATTATTCTGGACTGGAGCTTACGAAAATCCTGTTGTAACTCAACAGAATCAATTTCAGCTTTTGTTATCTATAATAACAACAATAATAACAATAATAATAATTGTAATAATAATAATAATAACAACAATAATAATAATAATAAATTGATTAAAAATGATTTTTATAATAGCATAAGGTAGTTGAATCATACTATACCTGATTAGGTATGGGAGAGATGGGTGATATCTTCCATCCATTGGTTTCCATTGAATTTCTAAAATTATGAAGTCCTATTGATAACTCTTGGCCATCATTCCAGTCTGTAAACAAGAAGGAGTGAGACTCAATGGTGCCAATTGACTCAGATTGTGCATACTATAAATAATAATAACATCATGTACATGTCAAACAATATACACCTTCAATTGTGCCTTTAGGCGTTTAGTGAATAGTATACTCATAGTCCAGCAGTTCTTATATTCTTTGACATAAGAACATTGACCAGCATATTTCACTGATGTGTCCCTCCTATAATGATAATAATAATAATACTAAAAATATAAAATTAATTATAACTAACGTAGATCTCTTGTACAAAACACAAATGAGACAGCTTTTACTGATCTCTAATGAAGCATACGTTTCTCCTATAGGAAAAGTCCCTCCATCAATGCAATCAAATGCAAGGACTTTCTTTTCTAAATCAACAGCAGCAGTTGCAAAGCACATTTTGCTGGCAGTGATGTCATCATTTAGATTAACACAATGCTCTAGCTTGATGGTGCTATAAAAATCTGGAGGTAGCTTTTCTGGTAGTGCAATATCGCATATAGCACTAACAATAGTGCAGCCATCAGGTAGAGTAAAAGGACCACAGAATATAGTGCGAACAATAATGGTTGACTTCTCTTCAGTGAGAGCTGGTACAATCAACTCATAACCATTGTCAGGACTTTCAATTGTGGATTCATTTCCTCCTATTGAATGCTGTTTTAACTCAATAGTGATGCAAGTACCTAATAATAAATTTAAACTATAAACAGGCACATATCATGTGAAAGGACAAAATTTAGCAGTGCCACTGAAACATACTATGATAATTACAATACTATTACCTTTGAGCATGTCTTCAATTTGTTTGATGAGCCATTGTACCACTTGATTACTATCAGCTTTACCACTCTTATCTTTTGAAGACTTGTGTATATTATAACTATGATATGCAATGAATCCAATATCAATAGGAACAGTCACTGCTAATGAAATTCCAGCTAAGACTGCACCAGCAACACGTGCTCCAGTAAGTAAAGCAATAGCTCTAGTCTCAGCAGCCGACTCTACTCCTGCAACAGCAATACCAATACCAACCCTACTCATATTCTGGGCTCCTCCAGCTGCAACATTTCCCGCCATTCCTCCAGTGCTGAGAGCAGACTCAGTACACCTTACCATAGCAGCATTATACTTCTCAGCAACATCATTAATAATAATACTCAACTGTTGATCAAGGTGAATGTGCTCTTGGGCTGATTTCAGTCGTTTATTTTCTAAAATAGTTCTAGCAATAAATGCTCCAACCCCTCCTAATGTGGCACTAGCCCCAACTGCACCACCAGCAATTGATAGACTTATTGCGGATACACCAAAAGTGAATGGCATCAGAGCAAGACCAAGAACAGCCATCCCCCCTCCTAGTGCTAAACTGGCTGATGATGTAGCTATCCTAGCTATCCTCTCACTTCGAACTATGGACAATACTTTATCTTTATTTTCTGATATGACACTGATGGTCTTGGAACGTATTGGATGCCACATAGAGCGGTATAGCTCCAGCTGCTTCTTGTAGTACTCTTTCTCTGCTCTATACAGAATAATAATTTAAATATAAATTTGCAAATAGTAAAAAAACAGAGAGAAAAAAGAATGAGTAATCAGCTAACCTTAAGTTGAAAGGCTTATATGGTGTAGGTAGAACAAACTTGTCAGTAAATTTATCAATGTACATGCAGGAAACCTTCATATCATTTCTGTCACATTCTTTTTGAATCTCCTTGAAGCAATTTTGTATGCTGGCCCCCTCCTTCAGGTTATTTGTAACAGTGTCTAGAACTACACTGCTATTCTTCTGGACAACTGATGTTATGAGAAAAATGAAATTTTTAGAAGGAATAGACAAAACCTGAAGTTTCTCTTTGGGCTCCTGGTCATGGGCTAAATGAAAGTAATAGATTTTTGGTAATTGAGCAAAAGGAGATTGATCATCTTGGAGGCACCCAAAAATTTTGTCAGCATCAATTAGTTCATTGTTGCAATCATAAAGGTGTCTGGTCTTGCCCTTACAAAGGAAAATGAGAGCAAATGTGACCAACTGAGAGTGATCAATCTGATGAAGCACTTCCAGTAGAGTGTTGATTGATCGAGAACTGAGCGAGTTGAAATAGAGGGTACAAAACCCAAGGGTGTTAAGGGTTTCTTTGATTTGATAAGCATTATCGTTAATCGTCTTAGTCCCATCCTTTTCAACTTTAACTTCACCATGATTATCAATAATGATAGCCAAATGAATCTCTACAGAAATGACAAAATAAAAACATAATGATAAAATGAATAACGTATGCATGATAGACAAATAAATTTTTAATATAATAAATTAATAGATCATAATATAAAATTCTGCAATAATAAATATTAATTTCTTACTATCATTTAAGTTCCACAAGCTAAAATTATGTTTTTCCTTAATTTGCAAGTGAGTGAATATTATCAAGTCGTGTAACCAATTCTCTCTATCAGGAAGCTTCATTGGGTTAGAATTTAAAAACGTTGGCTTATAATAGCCAGCTGGTACAACTTCAACCGCCAAATCATCAATACCAAGATGCTCCTTTAAGAAATCATTGATACGAACTGCACGTAGT